CTTCAAAATCTCAAAAAAAATTTGTAAACTTGAAAAAATTTTCTTTTTTAATTTATGCGAATAATATGAGTTGACAATGTGCAAATACTTGAAGCTTATTTTCTGGAACATGAAGTCTTATAAGGCTCTGTAAATACATCTTTTTGAAAAAAAATTACCTTAATCAGATCTTTTAATGACACTCAGCATGTCAGTACTTGTCACTTAATCTGTTAAAATCAGAAAACCTTTTGTAAGCTGTTATTTAGTTTTTAGTTTTATGCAAATTTAAATATTGTGCTCTTCAGTTTCTATGACATTTCAGATAACATGGTCTAAGATCTGAAATAGCTATTAGTTTTCTTTTTTTCATATGGAAGGTAAAATTTTTACTTTATAAGGTATTTCTCTTTCCTAGTGTGCCTTCATGGTGTAGTGGTCAGCACACTGAGCTGGTATTTCAGAGGTCCGTGGTTCGATTCTCGGCAAAGGCGGTTACTAATTTTTCATCTTGCCTGCTTCTAAAAAAATACCTAATGTCTCTACAGTGGTGCCCGAACTAAAATGGTGTTGTGGATGATGATTCTCCGCACCCAGGATTTGGCGATTGGGTTTCCTAAAATCCCCAGTCGCCCTTTAAAAGTGGGAGTATATAAGGTATTTTTCCCACCTTCTTAACATGCCTTCGTGGTGTAGTAGTTCTGCACGCTGGGTCGGTATTCCATAGGTCCGTTGTTCGATTCCCGGCGAGGGCGTTTGCTCATTTTTCATTTCGCCGGCTTTTCCAATTCTGCTTCCTAATGACTCTACAGTGACACCCGAACTGAAAGGGTGTGGATGAGGTTTGTCCACATCCAGGATTTGTTGACTGGGTCCCCTGAAAACTCCAGACGCCCTTTAAAAGGGGGGTATATAAGGTATTTCTCCTGCTTTCCTAGCGTGCCTTCGTTGTGTAGTGGTCAGCACACTGAGCCGGTATTCAGAGGTCCGTGGTTCGATTCCCGGGGAAGGCGGTTTCTAATTTTTCATCTTGCATGTTTCCAAAAACTATCTAATGTCTCTACAACTTTCTATTTTTTTACAATGAGTATAAACTTGTGCTAAACGTTAGTAGGGGGCCAGGGGACCATATAAGAAGATAAATATGTGAGTTTTGTAAAATAATTTTTTTTTTTTTTTTTAAATTTTAAAAGCATAAAAATATTTGCCTTATTTAAAATGTTCTTTTTGTATGGGTAGAATCAACAGTAGCGAAAATAAAGGTCATGTAAAGTCTTTTATGGCATAGCATATATAATATATGGGTGGCTGTTTATCATATCCGCATTATATATATAAATATATACTATATGCCATATGAACTTAGTATGAAAAAAACTTAAATTCTTACTGTTATAAAACTTTTTCTTGTATATCTCACAGTTTTTGAGATAAAGTTGTTAACTAGGCTTATTTCATAGTGCATGGACCTGTTACTATTTATTGTAGCTAGACATTACATTCATAGCTGTAGCTAGCAGTCTTCACCAATTATTTAAAGGCAAATTGAATTTCTTATTCACATTAGATATACAGTCAAAAGTCTTTAATCCGGGCGTCCATAATCCGGAATGATGTATAATCCAGAACTCAAAGCTACAAACTTCCTGCGCATGCGTAAACGAATGCGCATAATACGTTTACGCATGCGCGTTTAATGTATAATGGACAGTATAAGCTAAGCTAAAATTATATAATTATCTATTTCAGTTAATGTTGCAGATTGTGTTGTTTCTTAATCTTCTAATAGGATCCGGCTTATTATTTTTTGTAGACTGTTAGAGCAATTTTATAAAAGTTAGCTTGAACTTTCGATTATGTCAAAAAGAATTTCTGATTCTGGAGCTGCCAAAGGATCTGCAAAGCGAAAGCATGTTTCGATGTCCATCAAACAAAAAAGTGGAATTGCTGCAAAAAAGGGATAAAGGCATCTGTTTATCAACTTCACGCTGCTCTGCGGGGGGGGGGATGTCGCAGCACGCAATGAACTGGAAGTTGATCTGTCAGCACTATCCTTATCTTCAGGGCAGATGATTTTATTTTATTCGGCTTATAATTCCTTACTAAATATAATATTTCATCTCGATGTACTCCGTCTTTGATATGACTTAAATCAAATTCCTCCTCATTATAAATATTACGAATACACATCAAATAGTTTTCTGGTTGCAATTTTCTAATTTCGACTATGCGTGTATTGAAAGAAATGTTTAATAAAGTAAGCAAATAAATATTAAGTTTTTTTTTTTTTTTTTTTTTTTTTTTTTTTTTTTTTGTAAATTTTGATACTCTTTAGATCATAATTGCACTTTATTTCATAAATTACGGTTTCATATTTTTAATTTTATAATTTCTGCATGCCATCTTACCATATTTAAATTGATGATCTATAATCCGGATAAACCTATAATCCGGAATCGCCGAAGACCCGACGAGTCCGGATTAAAGATTTTTGACAGTATATGTAATGATTTTTTATGTTGATGATGTGATACATGGTCAAAGGGGATTCATGAAAAAAAGATGCATTCATAGTTACATTTTATTTCTTTACAAATACAGCCCAGTTTGTGCATGTCACTCGAGCATTCTTTAACAACTTAGTAACTCATTGTGATGCATTTGCAGTTAAATGAGAAAAGTAGTACTAGCGTACTTTTACGATTTATCTTGTGCACAATGAATCATTAGCACTCAGTTTTATTCCAGAAAGTAAGCCTTATCTTTATTATTCCTATAGCAGCTTTTTTCTAACAGAATTGTACCTCTGGATATTGTATTTTCTCCAAGTATTCGACAATAAACTATACATCTTAGCATCCAAAGAAATAATGTTCTTTTACAGCTTTTGTGTAATTGATTTATCCTTCATCTTGGTTAGGCTGATAAAAAATATCAAGATTGTGATTAGTAAGTTCTGTGATGAGGAAAGGCTTTTGAGTTTCTCTTAAACACCAAAATATTTCTCTAACTTAATTTCAGGTACAACTAAAACTAGGTTTAGCACTAAAGATAAAAATGAGAAGTCTTCCAACTTAGTGGTGTACCACTTTATGTTTTCATATTTTAAAACTGCTTCAAAAAAGAGATTATGAAACCTGTATTTCTTGTAATAAATTTGTATTTTAAAAATTTTGTCTTGAACAGAATTTTTTTTGGGGGGGGGATGAAATTCAAATGGAAATTTTTGAAAATATTCCATATGAACCATTTTAAGTCAAAATAAAATGCATAACAACAGAACTGAATACTTTGTTATTGTTTTTTTTTTTGAGCCATTAAGTCAGAATTGTGTGAGTGTTTGAAAAATTATGTAGTATGTTTACCTGTGTCTGAAACACTGCAGTTTTCATTTGAAACAAAAAACTGATAATTAGAATACTGATGGCCACCATTGTATTTTTATGGTAAAGTTTTTTTTTATAATCAGAAATAGAATTCTATATGTATTTAGTATTTCTTTAAAAAAACCATTTCAAAATTATATATAAGTGCACATGTACCTGTGTGTCTTCTGTATTATTTCATATTTGCTTTCTTGAAACATCTTCGACTGTTATAATGAAAACATGATTCTGTTTACACCACCCCCATCATGTTATCATGGACTCCGAACTTCAACTTACAGGACTGCTAGACTGTATTAAGTGATGAAATTTGGTTTCTTCCATATGTTGTTACTCTGATGATTACTAGAAAAATTTTCCTTTTATGTCATTATTTCCGCGATTTTGTACATTTAATGTTTTCTTCAGCATTTCTAACCTGAAATCTCGCAACGTATCAAAGACTACTTCACACTTCACGTGACAAGGTAATCACGCCCTCTCAACATCTGCAATCCTGACTTAGGTCTCACTCATGCATTCTTCTACTTTCAGTGCTCTATAGAAACTAATTCAGACAGCCAGAACAAAACTTGCAAAACCTGCAAGTTAATCAGCGGCGCATCCAGCAGAACTTGGATGTGTCTTCTATTGAATAATTCCAGAGATGGTTTGTAGGGAACTGCAAACATTTTTCTTACAGCATTTGTAGTATCTTAATTCTACCTACCTACACAGTTTTGCTTAAAATCAGTAAATCTGTGCTAATATTTTGAAATACATATCAATATTCTTATAAGAGTTTTTCTTCTTATGTTCTGTACAAATATATGCTCACATATTTCAAATTTCATCAGATTGCTTGATAATCTCCAGACTGTTCAATCTGTAAAAAGAATTTATATAATGAATTAAATATTTAACAATTTTGCTATGTATTTAATTCATTATATCATTTTATTATGTATGTGTGAGTAAAATTTGTGCATCATCACCATACTCATTTTATTTCTATTGAAAAAAAAAAGGCTCTACTGATCTTCATATAATAAAATATGTACAATTGGTGTTGTTGTCGTGTCCAAGGCATCAGTTTTCCTTGGAATTCGTATTGTTATATGGGTTTTATACATGTTTCAAAAACAAAACCATTGGAAATCTAGCATATTATTTTGGGCAATAAACTTAACTCCAACTACTATTTCAGCTCTCTGATACATTAAATTTGTTTCTGAGAGTTTATCTCAGAAATTACTTTAATAACTTCCACTATCTCCAACTGTTTCATTTATGTATTATTTGCTACTAATTGTAAAAATTATACATTTAGAAGCAAATTAAAATTTTTATTCTTTGTAAGGGTTTTATCTTCATCACTCTTATGATCAGGATGGGTGACTAAAAATTAGCTATTTGGAATGTTTTGAGAAATTTTGTCATTTGGGATTTTACTATGTTAGCTTCAGAATGTACAACAAACCATACAGTTTAGGAATAACACGTCTATTTTCATCCTTTATTGTTTATATTTCAATCATCAATTATTTATTTTAAGTATTTTATACAAATTTAAATTATGTATCAAGTTGTATGTACTATTTATGTAAAGAATTTTTTTCTGTTTTATTTCATAAATGTGGCATTTTCTTCCTTTAGTTCTAGAAAGTCACATCCTGGAATTGTAGTCCATTTAAGTGACAATCCTGTTGATCCAAACAAGGTAAGTGTTGAATTTAAGAATTGGCTTTTAAAATTACCATTCTGGTATCTTTCCATTTAATTGCAATCTTGAACTTCATTTGCTCTGTATATTTTTGTAGAAAATACCCAGATCTTGCTCATTAATTAAAAAAAATAATCATGGAAAATGAGATATAATTATTTCTCTACTTTCTGAAATAATATTTATATCGTTTAATTTTATATAAAATATTTCTGCTATTAAACTAAGGATAAACTTTTCCATCAGCTACTATATATGTATTAAAATTATTTTCAAATATGTTATAGTATTTTAAATGTCATAGGGAATAATGCTAAATATACCATTGACTTTTGAATTATACAATTATTATACAAGGTTTGGAATACCGTCATGCTAAGCAGTTGCGAATATGCATATGACTTGAATACCTTATACTGCTGACTAGAAGCCTTCCCATTAATAAAATTTACCCCTTATAACTGCCAGATATTTCCAGAAAAGCATTCATTGAAAATGGCTGAACTCATCAGTTGTTTCAGCATTTTATTACTAAAAAAGCTTCAAAAGCTTGAATCAAGAAGGTGCATATTCAAAATAATGCATAAATTCAAATTGTCAGGTCTTTGTTCTAGTCTCGCCCATCTTTTTAATCATCCCACTGTAAATACTAATCCCATTGTTAATATCTCTAATGTTAATCTTTTGGGAATCAGATAAAAGTATTAAACTATAACTTCAACTTTTCAAAGACATCTAAGCCTTCAGCTCCTCAAATCATCTGCCCTATTGAAAAAGCTTAAATAACAAATTATTTGTTTATATTGAACTTTAATAACAAATGGTTTCTTTTAAATTTTAACCAAAAGGAAAGGGATGCCTGATATAAAATTTATTCTAATCCTAACATTATAATTTCCAAAGCAGATAAGAATGGGCAGATCATTTTTATGGGTAAACTCATATACATTGATGGAATCATGGACCTGATTAATGAAGGCCCATACTACTTCATCTCTGAAGATCCTTCAACTTCTGACCTAGTGAAAGTTAAAAGAGCTGTTAAATCTTCTCATATATTTCCAACTCAGTATAAAAAGAAAAACACTAATTCCACCTATTGCTAACTGTGCTAAGTTTTATGCTTTTCCCAAACTTCACATAACTAGAATTCCTTTTTGACCTATAGTTTCCAACTTGGGAATGGCATCATATCTTTTGGACAATATTTAGTTTCCATAATTTCTAGTTTACTTTTGTTCAATATTTACACTGTCAAAAATTCTTTTGAATCTTTTTGTCAAAAATTCATAAACTTGGATATTTTCCTCCTGCACTCCATGTTGGTTCTTTTTGATGTTAAATCACTGTTTACTGATGTTTTAGTCCAAAGAGCACTAATATAGCTCAAAACAAGACCTCAAGAATTTTGTTTCATGCATACTGAAATTGAAGAGTTAATTTCTCTTACTCTGTTTGAGTCTTTTTTGAGTCAAATCCACTTTGTTGTCCAACATGAATATTATTGCTAAATTGAAGTATTAGGTAGGAAATTGCTTTAGTCCTGTACTTGCTGACATTTATGTACAGTATTGAGGTCAAATTATTTGAGAAAATTTCTTTTCATTTCTGGATTCATTACGTAGGTGACATTTTCATTCTTTTTAGTGGTAATAAAGAAGATTTATCCCATATTTTATGTATTATAAATTCAATTGATCCAGCCATCCATTTCACTTTTCAAACTGAATCTGACAATACCTTTCCTTTTCTTGGTATTGTTATAATCCACAATGAATCTGATTCCAGTGCTGTTATTTACCATAAACCTTTTTCTGTTTGCCTTCCCATGCTAAGTCATGTCATTTGGCTAAGCAAGCAATAGCTTCTTTTTGCTCTTATATATTCCATGCTTTCAAAGTTTTTTTTCCCCTCAGAACCTTTGCTTTCTAATGAACTTAATTATTTAAGATCACTTGCCATTGACCAAGAATTTTCCTCCATAGTAATTAAGCCTTTAAAAAATTTTCATCTTACCATCAAAGAAGATATTTTGATGTTAGAAGTAACATTAATAACCTTGTCAGGCTTCCTTTTCATCCCTCTGTCAGGTAAAAAATTATGCAAATTCTCCTGAAGTTAAATTTTCTAGTTACTTTGTCACCTATCAATAAAATCCATGTTTCAATTCATAAGATTGCATGTTTGACTTTAATTCTTGGGGAATTTATAGCATATTTTGTCATTTTGGCTTGAGATATATTGGCCACACTAAAAAAGCCTCAGAATTTCGCATAAAGGAACATGAATCTTGTGTCCATAAAGCCGAATTTAGGAAGTTTTTGATAGTTACTCATTGATGGAAATTTAAACACAATTTTGACTTCCTTGTCCAAATTATCCGAAAAGCTTCTTCCATTGGTAAATTGCATTTTCTTGAAGCTTTTCATGTTCATGAAGATTTATCTTGTTTGCTTAATGATTTAAATTCAAATCCAGTTCTTCCTAATGCTTTTAAAATTCTATCAACTTAATTTTTCAATTTTGTTTACTATTTCTGCCAACAGATGGCACTACATTCTCATTCACTTTACTTCTTGTGGATTTTAAGTGGCTTTCCTGTGGTTGCAGATTTCGTTGCTTCTGATGGAAAGAACCTGTGCCCATCTATCTTCAAAGTCAGTAGAGTCTTGACTAAAATCTGTGCCAAGCACAAAGTTGTTGCTTTGCTAATTTTATGTTTAACTTTGCTGTGTTTTTCTTGTGTCTTGATTTCAAATGTTGTCATGAAATACAAATGTACTACAATGTTCAACTTAAAGTGGCTACAAAGAATAGCACAATTACTGCAGATAATATTATTCATGGTACAATTAGTTTCATTCTACAGTGAAATACATTTAACGTAAAAACGCTTAAGACAAAATACAATGGTCCTGTCAAACTAGTGTGTATATTTTCATGCATTTTGTTTCTCTTAACATGAAACAAAAATCGCTTAACACAAAAAGATACCCTCTTTGATAATGAACAATATACGGAAAACACCGGCCTCACAGGCGAAATTTGAGAGGGGTGTGAAATGAAAGAGAGATGGTTTCATAAAAAGGAGGCTAACTTGGCTTTGAAATACCATCAGAATAGCTTGAGACATGAGCCAGTTTTGTTTATAAGCTACTTTCACCTTCTACCCTTACAAACTTAGCATAAACATCTCATCTCTCATCAGTTGGCTTTGGAATTCGGTTATGAGTACATCGCAGTGTGAGTAAAAATCTGTGAGTTTGGTTCATATGTTGCACTCTGCATGTCTCTATCTCTTCATATATTGCATCGTACTTGGAATTTAGGGACTCAAATGACAAATGAAAGTCGTTTTCGTCATACAGGATTCTCAAAAGTATCAGATTCTTTGGCACCAAAAGAAATGGAGAAGGAGGATATTGAAACCGAGCTGACACTTAATGAAATGTTTGAGAAAGTTTCTGTATTATTGGTCTGTCCTACTGTGCATTAGCGGAAGAATCCGTTGCAGTAGTTGATAATAATGTGTGTAGAGCTTCAATTATGGAAAACAAAGAACATTTTGGAGTTTGTTTAAAGTTCAGATAATATCATTGATGCAGATTCCGATGACAAAAATGAAATGAATAATGCAGCTCATGTTCCCACGTCATCCAAAAGGGGCAACATCATGAAAAGTATGCACAGTTAATTAAACGCACTATTCCAGTGGTGAAATGAATAACAAAATGGATGACATTGAACAATTTGTTAACAATTTGATGCTAAAAAAGACAATGCAAAGAAAAATAACAGCTTATTTTCCAAAAACTCAGTAAATATTCTGTTTTTCAAAAAACTTGAAAATTTTGCATTAATTTTCATCAAACTCTTGTGGATGTTTTTGTTTCACTGATTTTTATTAAATACATGCATATATACATATCTGTGTAAACAGATGTACTCTAATAAACTTAATTTTGCTGAATATATGTTTTTTTTTTCCACTATCCTTTAACACGAAAAAATATTTCAGTCCCCTCAGTTTCATGCTAAACTGTGTCAAAATCACACAGAAGGAAGAAGTTTGGATATGCAAATGATTAGTATTTCAGCGCATTTAGACAATGCAGGAGAGAGAAACAAAATCTAAAGCACTGCATAAAAGGAGAGTTTTGTAGTGGATTTTAATTTGGAAAGTGCTTCGTAAGGTTGGAGTTTGCTCAGAATATTGTGTTATACCCCAAATAAGAAAAGGAAATGCTTACCAGCAAGTTTCAAAATTTGATAGAGGTAGGATCCATACCTATCGAAAGTGTAGATTATCATTCTGTATTATTGCTGGTCGCACTGGTCGACATCCAACCACTGTCATGCAAATATGGAATTAGTGGATTGCTAAGGGTCATACTGAATGGCATGGATCTGAACATTCTTCCTTGACTAACAGCAGAGAAGACAGCCGTATTGTGAGGCTATCTCTGCAAAAATGTGCGACCATAGCATGAAACATTAGTTAAGAAATGGGCGTGTTTGCAGCACACCCAGTATCAGCTCATAAAGTGCATCGACATTTGCAACAGTGTTGTCTATCAGTAGGGTGACCATTACTTCGCCTTCTTTTGACAATGCAGCATAGAGATCATAACTCTGGTGCATCAGACGACAAAGCTGGGTACAGGAGTGTGGCACAATGTTGCCTTTTCAAACGAGTCGCGTTTCTACGTGCAGTATTCTGATGGCCATATATGTGTCTGGATTGTCCTAGGAGACCGCACGTCACCTGCTCGCGTTCGATATCAGCATAGGGCCCCTTGCACTTGGTGTGATGGTTTGGGCAGTGATTGGGTACACAACATGCACATCTCTAGTTTGAATCGATAGTAATTTGAATGCAGATGGGTACACTTCTGACATCTTAAGTCCAGTGGTTGTGCCCAAATTTCGAGGCCCCCAATTGTCATGTTCCAACAAGATAATGCAAGACCACATGTTACACATAGTGTTCTGATCTTCCTTAATATATAGGGTATTCAATTGCTGCCCTTGCCTCCATGGTCTCCAGATCTGTCAGTCATTGGAAACATCTGGTCATAGGTTGCTGAGAGACTGGCCCACCACCCCTCTTCAGCTAATATGGTTGGTGAAGTGTGCTATAGACTTGAAGCAACATGGAATGAGTTGCCCATTTCTGTCATCCAAGCTCCCAGTTTGACTCCATACCTGATAGGGTAAGGGTTGTTTTAGCTGCCTGGGTCGGCAGCTGTTTCTACTAATTTCGCACTCCTGTCAACCTCCAAAATGTTTACAAATTTAATCATTTTGCCTTCATGCCATACTGTTTACGTGCAATAAATATCTCTTTTGTATTTTCTTCACTTCATGGTGTTGCAATTTTAGTGGCTGCCAGTGTACATATATTTTCTTGTATTTGTGATGTACTTAGCTTTTTTTTTTATATTAAAGTTTTTAATTGCCATGTTTTATTTGCTAGTTTTATCATATTGCAATAAACTTACACAAGATTTTTTGTTTTATCTGTAGAACAAAATTATGGGTATACTTTAAGGGTCAACTATACATTGATTTATTTAAAGAAATGTACTTCCTAAATGTAGGATAAAGCAATCATTAGTGGGAAGGATGTTTATACTGACAACTGAGTTTGCTTTCAATAGAAATGTTGCTTAATAATAATTTATTATATATATTGATTAGTAATTATTATAAATATTATGATACATTCTGTAAGTTGAAATTTATTTCAAATAAACGGTTGTTATTTTTTGTTTTTTACAGTTCATTTCAAACTGTGAATATTATTTAATTTGATTAAATGAATTCACTAGAAATTTAGAATGTACTTTCTAGTTTGCAGGTGGGAAACTGGCTTGCTTCTGCCAAATTTTTGTCATATAGCATCTGTATTTTATACTCTAAAATGATCTCTTTATTTATGTCATCATTAGTGATATCTTAAAAGTAGTTTAGCTGTTTGTTCTGTAAAAATTTTAGTTTGAAAGGAAGTATGTTTTATTCATTATACAGTAACTGCATACATATTTCTGTATGAATTTTTAATTTTTTAAAATTTTTAATATTAGTCATGCAATGTCTGTCTATTAAATAACCAAAGTGTTTCTATCTTTTAAACGAAGTAGTGGTGAAAAGGTGCCCTCCTTTTTTCATTGTGTTAAAACATTTCTGACAAATGACAGTTTTGTGTTCTGTTTAGAGATTGTCAGTTGTGTTCCCTAGAAATTTATGCCTGTATTTTGCAGCAGCTGGAAGTGGTCTGAAATTTTTTCAGATTTTCTTGGTAGTAAATTCAACATTGGCACTGGATCAAAATCAAAGATACAGCAAAATCAAAGATAATTGTATCACTACCACTTAACCTCATCAGATTCATTGTTTATGTATTTTCATTGCTACTGAAAATAAAAAAATTCTGTATGTTTAAGTAATTTTCCAATACAATACCTCATAAGAATATCTAACAAAACTTTATTGTAACATCATTACATAAGTGTCAGGAAGAAATACAGTAATCTTTTGTTCTAGTCTTACAAAATTAGCTTCTTCAAAAACTTCAATAAGAGTACTGAATAAAATATATATTCTAACTTTCTAAAGGTTTTATGAACTTCTAAAGCTATTAGGTTTTCAAGGATGAGAAACTGGATAAACAAACTGTGCTCTCTGTAGAATTTGAAGCATAGGTCTTCTGATGCTAACAGGACATGCTACCAGTTGCACCAAAAGAGCATGCACCAGGGAAGGTGATAATTTCTTTTAAATTGATGTTATTGTTTTATGCATCATTCATTATTCCAATTAATTTTTCTTTTAAGTTAACCTGTGTTAGCTACTAGAGTGAATAATAAACCAAACTATCTAATCACACGGTTATTCACATCACATTAAAAATTAGAGCAAAGAATGCTTATTGAGAATTCAGTGGCATTTTATCTATACTAAGAACATACTGTCATATTACAAACATAGAAAATAAGTCTTGTTCAAAATTAATGCAAACAACTGGCTTCACTTGCAAAATTCTTTACATCATTCACTGCTTTTCACAGAATCTGTTAGGAAGGACTGGAAACTGTCTCTTTGGAAGCTTTTGAGAATTTGTAATTAACACGCTACACTCATTTGGAACATTACCATGTGCTTAAATTTTCCTGGATCATTATCGTTTGGAATTCCACTTTCTTTTCAGAATAAATGCATCAGAATGATGCTTATTTTATTCATAAGTTGTTCCTAATTTTTGTCTAAAATTGGCTGATAACCAAGAAAATTTTTCAGTTAGCACTTTTCTTTTTCTGCTAACAAGTGTTCATGACCAGGAGGTTGAAAAACGCTGGTGTCCCATTTCAAGAATCTGGAGATTTAGAATCTGTGCATTAACAGAGATTTCACTGCATGCAGTTTCACTAGTGTGCTATAATTTTATTAAGGAAGGCTAGGTATGAAGAAAATTATAAACCTCTCCAAGACAAGAATGGTGGTGATGGTCATCGTTGAGAGAAGAAATTCAGTACTACAAGTGTTTATGTTCCCAGAAATATGGGTCACTTTCATAAGTGGTCATATTAGAAATGACCACTTATGCTCTAATTATTCACTCTAGTACCTAACACAGGTTAACTTAAAAGAAAAATTAATTGGAATAATGAATGATGCATAAAACAATAGCATCATGAAAGGGGTTATTGTATTTTGAATATAAAGAATAATGATACGATTCGAAGTCTTAATGAGTACACTAATTGTTAATATGCTCAGATAAGTTTTTGAAAATCAAATAAAGAGAGGAACATAAAATTAGCAAAGCAACAACTTTGTGTTTGCTGTGGATTTTAATCAAGACTATCGATTTTGAAGGAAACAGGTACAGGCTTCATCTGGAACTATGAAATCTGCAACAAAATGAAAGCCACAGTTATACCCCCTTACTTATAAGGAGTAAAGTGACTGAGAAGGTTCAAACATAAGATTCGTGTTCCTTGATGCAAAAAAACATTCTTTTAGTTTGTTCGTTATATCTCAATATCCCATAAATTCCCCAGGAATTAAAGACAGAAATGGAATCTTTAAGAAATGAACCATGGATTTTATTGGTAGGTGAAAAAAGGACTTGAAAATCCACATGAACGTGAAGGAAGAAAATAACGTAACATCTGGTGTCAAAAAAAAAAAAAAAAAAAAAACGCAACAATATTTTAGTTTGAATTCTTTCATAAACCATAAGAATGACTTTATTAAGTCAGACTAAAATATAGCACTAAAAGTTAAATTAATTTGCTTATAAGAATCACAAGAAAATTAAAATTTCTTTGACCTGCTATCAGTAGTTAACAGTATGTGTACATCAGCTATGGGAATAGGTGAAAGTGAACAAATCCTTCCTGGCATAGAGCCAATGCATTTCAAGCTCTTCCCTTTCGTGCAAAAACCCGACTGCACTCGGATGAAGCACCATTTCAAAAGAGGTAAAATGATATTCCCTTTAATGCTTTTGAATGTTAGGTAAAAATATATATGAAAGTGTGAGTACATAAAATATTGGGGACTAGCTTAATCCCTCTAGTCCACTGACAGCATTCGCCTGTGTAATTTACGTTTTAACATAGCAAAATATAGTATTATGTGGGTATTGCTATCTCTTACAAGAGTTCTTATATAGGCTTAAAGACCTCAGTAGAAATTCCTGTAGAATTCTGTAAGCCTCTGTAAAATTTGTTGTAATTGATATTATATGCATGATACAAAGTATTTGTATGCATCTATCAGTAGTCCCTTTTTTATCTGTAAGAAAACAGCAAAATCTTATGAGTAGCTAAAAGAATGTAGGTATCACTTGCGCTGAATCTTTGGCCCAAATTTGGTTCAAAATTTTAATCCACATTTTCTGGACAGAAATAGATATTTTCAGGAAATATAATATTGGGCCATTTAGTATGATAATAAGTAAACTGACAGTGATGGAATAATTCATGTTAATTAGTTGTTTTGAAATTGTAACACTGAGTAGGATGGACTATTTATTTTTACATAAACGTTCAGCCTCCAACCATGGAGCACTAATATGCATGTCTGTACCTCTAAAATAAATACAAAATATTTATAAGAGTAAAGTTATATTTCATACATCTTTTTGTTACTTAATTTTTTGTGTGAATCAAAACGATTATCAAACTATTCCTCTACTGAAAAACTTAATTGTGTATTAATCATGTTTCAGCTACTTATTGGATATGAAAGTGGCACTGCTGTGTTATGGGATTTAAAGAATAAAGCTGCAGATTGTCGATTTCAGTGTACAGAGGTTAGTATTTCTGTATTCAATTCTGCTATGAATTGTTTAATTGTGATATGTGTAATGTAACTTCAAAAATCTATATAATTAAAACTTATGCAATTTAACTTAATTTTGCATATTTAGTTGTAAAACTATTCTAATCGCTATTCCATTTATTTTAATAGAAAATGCATTTTTCTCCCATTTAAAATGCTTGTACTTTTTTACTGCTAACTGATGTATTTATACATTGGACAAATTTTTAAATTAAACATTTTTTTAATTAAATTGTGCCAAACTTGCAGAAAATATCAACTTAGATATATGTTTTTAAAATTTCACAGCCATTAAAAAGTGCTTCCTGGCATCATGAAGGAAGACAGTTCATGTGCAGTTATGGTGATGGAAGCCTTAAAACGTGGAACATAAAAAATTCAGCCAAGCCTGAATCTGTTATGTATCCCCATGGTATGCTTAAATATTTTACTGCGTTTTCATTTTTTATGCAAAGTTTGTGGCATTGGATGCAGAATTAAAAAATGTATGATATTTGACAAATGTGAAGAAATTTCAGTACTTATTTATTTTATTCAGTGTGTAATAAAATATGATTTAGGATGTGTTAAAAGAGTGGCAGCAATTGAACTGTATTATGTTTATTTTGGCTTCTAAATGTTATTTCAAGTGGTTGGCTACTTTACAGAAAGAGCAATCATATTAACTAGCTAATATTTTAGAAAAAGGTATTCATATAAGCCTTTGCTTTACATTACAACTCCTATCCATATATGAGTTTTCCCCCAATTATTAAGCATTGCCGTTTGTGTTTGTACTTCTTTCAATGGTTAAGAAATCATTCTTGTAAACTGTAGTTTGTGAAAATAAACATAGTTGAAGTGTATATGTTGCGCCAATGAAGTTTATAAATGTTCGGCATTTCTCTAGTGACTCTAAAAGGTAATGTCTACCAAAAGAGTTTTAAAACCTTTTATTCTCATAATCAGATATTTAAAAAATCTGATTGCATTTTCCAAGTAAACTACTGTTTGTTAAAAAAACATGTTGGTTTATTTGTTGAAAGACAGCATAATAATGAGGAATGAACAGACATTTAGAACCTATTCTGTGACAAATTTTCTCTTTATTTAAGTTCCTCTTTTGTGAGCAAGTGCGCATTTGGACTGTATAAGATTCTGCCTTTTCTCAAAATTTAAAGCCCCCAAGTTTGAGGAGCCCACCAGCAGTCAAACAGTGAAGTGGCTGAACACTGATAGTTCAGTCCCTGGATGCACAAGAGAAGTGCTAGTTCATAGAGCTTTCCCTCCCGAAACAAGAAGTGAGGAATGATGACGTAGTCATGTTGACCCTGACTGCAAATAAATAAACGTTTTAAATTTTAAAAAGCAGTTTAAAAATTTTTATTTGAAAAAATAGCATTAATTTAGAAGAGAAGTGATTACTGTAAGCATTTATAATGTTTAAAAAGTTAAAAGTATTTATTTATGAAATAAAAATAATAGATGAAATATGCTACATTTTCTTAAAAGTTGTAGGTATTTCCCCTTGTGCATTTATTATTAAATCATGAAGAAAAACATTTATGACATTCATTATCTTTTCTTTATCTGCATGCTAAGTGAGAGAATTCTATTATTCTTTCTAAGATAACTGTAATAACAGCTTTTTAAAGTTAGGCCTCCCCCCCCAAAAAAAAATCCCCTTAGTTTGGCTTAGTTTTGAATTTATATGTCATTTTTTTTTCTGCAGCTAAAGAGGAACTTATGTTTGACTGCTCTTGAAATTGATAGTTTTATTCAAAATTTAATCTAATCTAAGATTGCTTTTTCGACATAATTATAACTATTACATTGGCGTGTTTCTCTTCTTATTTGATATAATAACAGGTATTGTAAAAATACTTGTCTAACTGACATTTGTATAATTTAAATAAATACAAGATTGTTTCCCCAAGTTTGACAAAACAACTTTGCTCACAGTATCTAAAGAGAATTACTTAATTTTTCAGAAGACAATCTTTTTATGCGAAATTACTTTGACGTTTTATACGATTATAAATTAGCTAAAATACTGAGATAGCTTTGTTTTTTACAAATTTATTTTTACAGTTAGGCATTCAACAATATTTACATCATCATTTGTGAGTTCTATCTTTAAATCATTTGTATCTGATATATTGTTCGTATCATCATTTTCACAATCGGCCTTAAATGAATTTTCTTCAAATTTAGCACTCTGTATTACTTTTTCTTTTCTTGGCACAATATTGGATTTTAACAGTTTCTTTTGCAGCAATTCAAGCAAGCCATTTTTCATCTTCAGCCATTATGTCATCTTCACACTCACTGCATAGAAAATGTTCACTGCAAATTCTTGCATTCTTCACATTAAGAGAATCCTGTCTTCGATACAAGTATCCTTTTTTTTTTTTTTTTTTTTCCAAAAGCGAATTCTCCTTTGGAAAATATGAAATACAATGAAATACAATATCATTATCTTTCTCATTCCCATGAATTTTATGGCACTTTGCTACAATGCAAGATGACATATTACACAAACAAAACCTTACAGCAGTGGTATCAAAAAACATACGAATGAAAATAACGCAAAAAAAAAAAAATCTAATTTATACTTATATTTTGCTTGAAATTTAAAACATATCTGCAGGAAATTCTGTTTGTCACAATTTGGAATTCAAACAGATAGCTAAATATTAGAATTTTCAGACTAGCATTTATTCAGTTAATAGTAATATATTGAACTACTAAGTAACTTACTTTTAATTTAAAGTAAGAAGAAATATAGTAAAGTTTCCCAAGAGAGACAAAACTTGAGAATAAATAATGACGACATAGTCTCTTTCTTTTATTTATTAGATTTTTCTATGACACAAAACAGCAAAAATAATATGTATATGTAAATTATTATAAACAGCCACCCAGATGGTATGGTGGTTAGGGAAGCCGACTGCAATACGAATGGGCACGAGTTCGAATCCCGTAGAAAGTGCAGTTGTAACTATCCTTTCCTTCATAGGAGGCAAAGGTGGCCCACATATTAGGTACCTGCATAATAAAGTGATTGCCACTTCTAGCCTTAATAATGGCCAAGCCAAAATCTGCTGAGGGCCCGCCATTGGAAAAAAAAAATATTGTAAACATCTTTGTTTTTTACTACATTTTTCAGCTGCAACACCTCATGAAGTTTTGATTTTCATGCAGTTTGTAACCTTGGAGGGAAATTACGCATCATTACGGAGGGAAAAAAAGCATCATCACAAATTGAAGATACTCCATCGGCAGTCTGGTTCATTTCGTAGATGTAATGAATTTTCAACTATGAAAAAAAAAAAAAAAAAAAAAAAAACTGTTCTCATGTAAATTTATTCAAAAACAAAGTGAGTATTCTTATTGCAAAAATTCTTAACTTAAGATATTTATCTTTTGATAAGTACTAATAAAAGTTAATCAAATTTGTATCTTAAAATCTTTGAACAAGATTTATATCACGGTGTAAATTAATTAGTTTCTATTTCCTAGATTTTCCGAAGAGTTACGTTCATTTCTGTTAATGAATATAATGTAAAACTGAACTCCAGACCATTAAAATCGTAGATGTTTTCTTCAAATTTTTGTCAGAATAATGCTAATTAATTTATGGGAAATGTAGCAGGCAGCATAAAATTACTTACGAGGGCCGCCAGTTTGAGTTCAACACTACTTTACTAGAAAACAATATGTATATGATTAAAATTAATTTGGGATGTCCACAATGCTAGTTTTAAACAGACGAAGTCAGAGCAAATGCAACACAGTGATGTCAGACTGCTTCCTGTTAACCCCCTAGGAGGATTGCGTCTGCGAAAATTGAGTTGCGCAAAGGAATGAGCTAGCCCTTCTGTTTAATCCTGGCTTGGTCCAGAGTTCGAATCTCGGCAGATGGGCTAGATGCATGGATGTTTTCATGGTTTTCTCCATTTGTAATATGTGTACAAGCCAGTTTCCCTTAGAAAGTCCTCCACGAAGGAAACCCTCTTTGGCAGGTAGCCCTCGAGGGTTTTGCTGTAATCAAATAAAAAAAAATAAGTTTGTTGTAAATATAAAAGGCAGCAGCATTCAGTCTTAAGTGTAAGATTTCATTTTTCTACAAAACATAATGCAAAGCAGTTACCAATTTAGATTATTTTAAAACAGCATTATTTATTAAAAGTATATTCAGCATTAAAAAGTATCAAATTGGTCTTAAGTGTAAGATTTCATTTTTCTACAAAACATAATGCAAAGCAGTTACCAATTTAGATTATTTTAAAACAGCATTATTTATTAAAAGTATATTCAGCATTAAAAAGTATCAAATTGAATTAAGCATTATTATTACATTTTCGTAGAACACTGCAATAGAATCAAACATTCGGAATATATTATACTTATGCTCTATAACCCAGAAATATCGAGGCATAAAAGCATTGCATTATTTAACAGAAAAATGCTTTTTTTTTTTGTTTTTGGTAATTTGAACAGATGGTTTGAAGTTTGATCAGTGGCTATTTCTGTGATATGTTGCAGTTTGTCCGGAGGAAATTTTCAAGAATATTTTCAAGAAATTTATTAATGGGCAAAAGACCATTTTTAATCAAAATTGCAGAATTAATTTCACCATTATTTTTCTGAAACTGCTGTGTGCTGCTTCAGTACAGGTGGTTAAATAATTACTTCTTTCTTTCTCCCTCACCCTAAATTTTTTTAAACAATTTCTGCCATTTTTTGCCATCAACTTAACTTGTTTTCACATTTTTCAAGTTTGATCATAGATAGCAAAAAAACTCAAAAATCTCTGCCAGCAATACAATCCATTATGTCCTCTTAGCAAAATCGTTGGTCCTGTAAGTCACCTTCAGCAAGTCTTTGTTAATGAGAGTTAAACAAAGGGAAATATTACAGTGATGTTTTCAGAATGCCTTGAGTTTTGATTCTGTATCCCAGGATACCTACAATATATGCCTTTGACATAAATTTTTTGGCAGCTATCTATGGTTCCTCTCTCTCTTTCTATGTGTATATATATATTATATGTGTGTATGTATATATAGAGAGAGGAGACCAAATGCGATCGAATTGAATTGTGGGTGATTTTATGGAAAGAGAATACAAGTCAGGATCTCCGATTACATAATGGCAGCAATTTTTCTTGTCAAATATTTTTATTACTAATATTTATATTTTAATTAAATTTAGTACATATTTCATCTTTTGCTTTTTACAATTTGTACAACCTTTACTAAACTTTAAACTTTTAAAAATATGCCATTTAATTAGTATTTCACTTTAAAAATATCCCATTGCGTTAGCATTTTCGTACCATTTTCTAAGAGATGTAGAGACATTAGGTATTTTGTTTGGAAGCAGACAAGGTGAAAAATAAGCAAACACCTTTGCCAGGAATCGAACCACAGACCTCTGGAATACTGACTCAGTGTGCTGACCATTACACCACGAAGGCACGCCAAGAAGGTGGGGGAGAAATACCTTATATACTCCCCTTTTAAAGGGCGACTGGGGTTTTTAGGGAACCCAATCACCAAATCTTGGGTGTGGAGATTCATCATCCACAACCCTTTTAGTTCGGGCGCCATTGTAGAGACATTAGGTATTTTGTTTGGAAGAAGGCAAGATAAAAAATGAGCAGTGGCCTTCGCCGAAAATCGAACCACAGACCTTTGGAATACTGACTTAGTGTGCTGACTACTACACCACGAAGGCACACCAAGGAGATGGGAGAAATACCTTATAGAGATAATAAAATTTATCCATCAAAGTATTTTTATATATATGTAAATGCTTTGAACACATTATCAACAATATCAATCAATTTATGTTAATTAAT